CTTTTGGCGTTGATTTTGAAGGAGGGGTGATGAACGATGAACTTGAAGTCCAGGATCATCTCCTGATCCTTTAAGGGTTAAGTTGTTGTTACTGCTTCAGTTTTCCAGGTTCTTGACATCTCTGTTGGGTGTGATTCTGTCTATCATAGTGTCATCTTCAAACTTGACTTTGGTGTTGATGGATTGATTGAATATGCAGTCTAACACGTAGACGAAGAAGAAGACGAGGCTCAGGACACAGCCATGTGCTGCACCAATGTTGGGGGTGATGTTTGGTTACCCATCCTGCAGTCTATGGTCTGTTAGTGAGGCTGTCCAGGATCCAGCTGCTCACATCTGTGTTTGCTGGGTTGCACCATTTAGCAGCTTATCATCCATGGTTGCCCTATATTTAGATTTATCAATCCCCTCAAAATATCTGGATATCTCTCCTCTTATCCACCAAAAACATAAAAGAAAATCTCAATAGCATGATGCTGCCATTACTATGTTTAACTATGGGAAAAGGCAATTGATTGGAAAAGACTGTGCTTAAGATATAAATGTAAAGGGGTTTGAACACATACTCTAAATACAGTTTTCAGGTTTTTACCAGATTAAATTTGAAAAAGCTTTAATTGTTTCTCTTTGTTTTAAAACTAATCCAATCCAATCCACTTTATTTATATAGCATGATTTCAATAAACACAATGTTTCCAAAGTGCTGCACAAAAAAGATAAAATAAATAAAATAAATAGAAGTAAATAAATAAAATAAAAGCACTGCCCGCACAGGATAAAAATATGCATGTGTATCATTAATTTGAGTTGTACTTTAAGGAAAAATTTCAATTAGAAAATAAAGCAAGGTTTTTATGTGCATTGTAGCGATATGTGTGGCAGTAATATGACAAGAGGGTAATGGCATACTGTAGGGATCATGACCATTCTGGAAATGAAGCGGACATGAGCTTTCTATATATCAGGTTGTGTCTTTGGGATAAGATCAAAAGTTTAATTGGTCACAGATAGTTCAGAGTAGACTCTGAACTTATGGAGCAGAAGTTCAGGTGGTCCTGGTTGAAGCTGGTCTAAGGGATGAATGAGACCCTATACCAGACAAACAAACACCTACAATGGATACAATGGACTATTTATCAATTATGGCCTGAAAAATACAGTAGATATTATTTAATTGCACAGTAGCAGCTACAGACACCTGGACTTCATACATGTCACCTCTAGGTGGCGGTATTAACCATGTTTGACATGTTCACAGGACAAGTGGACAATGAATCCTCTTCTCTAAACGAAAAAACTGCAGCATAAAGGGATTTTTTGCATATATAAAGACAATTACCTCTCACATTTTCAGTTGTCATTTGCTGTTTACTCTTAGATTTATTAGGGGTGCACTGAGTGCTCTTTAGCAGATTCCAGCCTCTTTGGCAGAGCTATTAATATCTGTGCTGGCAGCAGTATCATCAAATCAATATTATCCAAATTTAATTTTATTCTGTACAACAAGGTAGAAAAATAAAATGATTAATGTCTTCCTTTAAATGCAAAATGTAAAGTTTGTATTTTTATGGACATAAAGTAGATGTCCTTTATAAGGGACTGGATGGAGTTTGATGCTTGCTATAAAAACAATAAAGAGTAATCAGAGGTTTACTTTAATCTTGAAGGAGACCAGAAACGTCTCCCAGCCTCTCAGAGAAGTCAAGCAGCAAAGATTCAGCCAAAAATAAAAGTAGCTCACTAGGAAATCTGTATTACTCACCATGTAATCTCTTTCTGCAGATGCCATCTACATTTAAATAAAAAATACAGACAAATAATTTCTAGATCAGTTCTGGTTTTGTCTGTCCGTTAAAAAGAAACAGCTCTACCTAAAAGATCTGCCTTTCCTCTATTACAGATACTTTACATTTTCTGAAGAAAAAAAAAACCGACCCCTGTATTAGGTATCTAGATACAGCTGATAGCAGTTATATACGTTTGTCACATCTACAACAAACCATGCATTTTGCTGTTTATATTCTTATTTTTACAAAGCAATATTCTTCTGAATCTAGATGCATATCGAAGGATTTTGTTATCAAATGTTGGTCCAGCACTTAATAATGTAGCTAAACCCCAATATTCAACAGATAAAAAACTAAACATTCACAGAGCACTTTTAATATGAAAAATGTGAAGTACTTCACAAAGGTGCATCACAAATCAATAACTGAGTTTATTAAATAGTGATACCCACACAAAACCAGAGATGTTGAAGCAGAACCACAGATGAAATTGTGATTATAAGTTCTTTTAAAAGGAGGAATGATCCCTGACTTCGTTTTTTTTGTTTTTATTCCAAATCATAAGAGCCTGAGGTCTTCACCTCAGATTCTACATGTCCTCATATGAGCTGACCAGTGTCATACATTCTGCTGGATGTTCATTCCCATACAATCTGCTCTGGGGCTACAAACAACTTAAAAAAAAATAATCATCATATCTGAGAACTAATGAACACAGAATTCAATTTATTCCCTGAGGACCTGGCAGTGATGGTTTATACACAGCCCCAAAGGGATTACTCCCACTCCCTGGCCAGCTAACAACATATCAGTTAGAGGTTAATTCTATCATATAATATACTATGGGATATGATATTAAAGAGTGAACCCCTAGTAGGAGAATGTAAAGCCTTTGAGATGCCATCCTTTATTGCACTAGCACAATGTCACACAGTAATATAATTAATTCCATCCTGAAGTTTGAGTCTTTATTTTCAGTGATAAAAAAAAAAAACCTATGACTTAATGATTGATTTAAACAAAACTGGTTACATTTTAATCCTTGTGGTCCCCTAAAAAAAAAAAAAGTTTTTCTGTTGTAATTTACAGATTTACCTCTGTAAGGAAAAGGCAGCAGGACAGGAAAAATAATAAAACAGTCCCCAAAGTTTATTGTTAGATAATCACAGAGATGGGTGACATCAAGGGGGCAATCTCAATAAGATGCTGTCTACATGATAAGCATTTACTTTGGAGGTATGCCAGGAAAACAGCACTCTAGCAGTCTAAAAGGTCAAGCATGTGGAGATTTGGGAACTGTGTACTTTGGCTAGATGAGACTTTTTAGCAGAAAAAAGCTCCAGGGAGTTTTGATGCGAGGCAAAGCTTGAATGTAAAGAAAAATATTTGCACTCCGAAACACAAAGGAGGATGTGTGATGCTGTGGGACCGTCCCTCTTCTAAATGTACTGGAATGTTTAATTGAAAGAACAGCTTAATGAGTGACATCAAGCATGCATTAATCCATGTCTGCCTCACGGACTAAAACTGGCAGTTGGTTCCACAGGAGAGGAGCCTAAGAACTTAAAGATCTGCCTCCCATTCTACTTTTAGAAATTCTAGGAACCACTAGTAAACCTGCAGATTGAGAGCCAAGTTCTCTGTTAGGGGCATAAGGAACAATCAGAACTCTCCCTACAATCCAATGAAGTGTATTTAATTGCTAGGAAAAAAGGTTGTGCTTTAAATATCACCTTTTTTGTTGTTTCAAATACAGAAGATTTTCTTTTTTGCTGCCTTCTTTTTTAAATCTCAGGCATATCTATGTTAAGAAAAGTCTTTATTGGCAGGTCAAATGTATACACTTCTTATGGGTAGCAGCAGCGCAATACAATTTCCAAAAAGTCTTTGGTATTTACCTAATCATATTTAGCTACTTTAACATAATTGTTTAATGTTATCAGGGTATGACATAAAACAATAGTGTTAAAGTAGGTAAATGTCATTAAGTAAATGCCAAAAGTGGGTGCATTATTTTTTTTCAGTGTGCCTCTGGGCTGCAGGCTACGGAAGAGGATTAGGGCCACTAAAAAAAAAACAACAAAAAACATATTTTTAAATATTATTTCAGTTTAATATGGGAAAAAGTTTAATCTCTGAGTTTAATCTTAGAATTCTGAATTTCTTCTCAGAATTCTCACTGTAATTTCAGAATTTTGGATCTTAATGTAGATGGGCACCATGAAGGAAGAGAAGTGGGAGCACTCAGCTTCACTGACAAAGATGTGAGTTGTTTGGGAGGGCCAGTACAACATTGATGGAAAATGACAGAATTAGGTGATTTTTTTTTCGTGGCCGAGGGATCCCTGGTGATGCTATTTCATTAATGGAAGAGCAGAAGGTGATTAAAACAAGAGAGCTAGTCTCTAAAACAGACATGGCTGGAGCTTGATGCTAACATGT